TCTGAGGGTGCCAAAAAATCAAAATATTGAGAAAATTGCCAATGTCCAAATGAAGTTCTTAGCAATGCATATTACTAATCAAAAATTAAGTTTTGCTATATTTATAGTAGGAAATTTACAAACTATCTTCATGGAACATGATCTTTACTTAATATCCTAATGAGTTTTGGCATAAAAGAAAAATCAATAATTTTGACCCATACAATGTATTTTTGGCTATTGCTATAAATAGTCGGCGTTGCGCATGCATGCGAGTCTTGTGAAAACCAACATTTGTTTACAGGAGCAAAGGAAAACCAGTCTCCTCTTGGCTTATATCGAAATCCTCCGACATTCTTCTTTACAAATCCTCGTTTTGTACTTCTAATTCGTGACCGTTGTTTTGTTTTGATCTCTCCGCTGCGCTTCTGCGTTCGTCACTAATCACGCAATGCCGACGTCTTACATCATCCGCCCGGAGCTGCTTCCGTGTTCAACTGTTGGTGCAAGCTAAATTAAAGTGATTATTACGTTTTGAATATGGATTTTTTCTTACAAAAACACATCGATTTGCTACAGGAGGCCTTTGTTCACCCCCCGGAGCCGTGTGAGACACTTTTTATTATGAATGGATGCGATTTAACTTCTTTTGAACTGATGCATGCAACACCCGCTGACTGCCATTAAACAACTTGGAAGATCAAAGACAATTTTTAATATAACTCCGATTGGATTCTTCTGAAAGAAGAAAGTCATATACACCTAGGATGACTTGAAGGTGAGTAATTCATGGGCTAATTTTCATTTTTGGGTGAACTAACCGTTTAATAAGTGAGTCATTGCGACTGAACCGAATCATTCAAACGGTTGATTCATTCAGGAACAAAACAGCGTCATGTTGCTCAGAGATGCAAATTGGAATTATATTTTTTGGTGAAATAGAGCAAAAACAGTCAGTACTGTGTCTAACGTAAGTGTCTTAATATTAAATTCTTGTTTATTGAACTGCTGTATAAAGTCTTTGTGTGATACTGATTAACTATATGAAATTATATAAATATATACATTTCTGACCCCATATCTTGAATTTTATGATCATTCTAAATGCATTTTAATAAAGAGAATCATGCAGTGAAAGAACGCGCACTGGTCTAACCTACTAGACTTCCTATTGCCTTATCTTAACTTTAGCTAACTTACATGGTAGCTGGGTCATGGATGTTAGCAAGACAAATTAACTATATTTGAATCATTTGCTGGTCCGTGTAACGCTGAGGAACAAAACACTGTTGTTCAGCGACGCAGCACTGCTGTTTGTTCTATTTTCTTTCTGACGGAGCAAAACTGAATTTTGTGTCTGAAAGTTACTCTGTAAGTTGTTTTTTATTGTACATTTCCGATCGTGCAGATATTCGAGAAAAAAAAAAAAACAGGACTCTCGTTTGTTTGATAGACTAAGTCCTATATCATAGACATATCTATGTTATAAAAAAACAGAAACTCATTAAATTGCTATTTTTTTATTTAAAATCATTTTGATGACATTTCTTCCCATGTAATGGCAGTAGGACAAGAGAGAGCGCTCAAAACTCATCAGATGATTGCATCATTTAGTGGAACATTAATATAATAATATAGAATCATCCTCTGTAAAGAAATGAGGTGTGAACATTTGAGAATTTTTCATTATCTTTCTAAATGTGCGCTCTTTGGGGCTAAAGGCTTAATGGAGCTGTTAATGTAATGTTAATGTAGCCATGTGATAACAAACCAATCAGTGCAGATGCGATTCAATACGTGTGTCCTTCTTCTATGTGAAATAATCATAAATACCAGTTTATGCTGTTTGATTGTGGCGTCGAAAGTCATAGTTGTAAGCTCTAGCCCCGTTTAGATCTTGCATGAGCAGTGGAAATGCAGCGAATAATTTCTGAATTCTGACTGGCATATAACGAACAAATCAAACTAACATAAACGGGCAAAGGCGGGGCCCATGGGCTGCAGCCCACTCAAGCCCAATGGTAAGGCACCAAAGGTTTCGAACTCCTCCTCGACCGTTGGTCTGATTTTTACCAAAATCGAATCAGATCATCTTCAGACCATGCTTGCAAAAGTTATGGATTTTGTGTTGCTAGAAAAAAAAACGTTTTTGTATTGCGCCGCTACAAATTTGAGGCATGATGCCAAAATGACTCTGAGGCTGTATCTCTGCGAAGCTTTGACATATTGTCACCAAACTTTGTGTGTGCCATTGTCACCTCACACAGAACACACCACATCAATTTGGTAACAGCGCCACCTGTTTGTCAAACGTGATAAGACATTAAATCATATTAAAAATTAAAAATCGTTCACCCTTATCTTCCCCCTTCCTTCTGTAGATCACTGGTTTTCGACTGAGGCTTTAGGACTGTCTGTGCTGGTTCTGATTCAGATTTTGATCATCACCAAAGTAAAACAGATGCAATCTCTGGACCTCAGGACAGTGGTTCCTCATAATTTGCCTTCAGAGCCAACAGATCTGCATGTGATTCTGTCAACATATTGCTACATTTTAATTTACTGTATTTTTAGACTGCATCCCATGCCATTTTTTACTTTTTAGATTTACTACAAAAAATATGGTCATTACTGGCTTAGTTTAACATCTGGACGGATAACTGAAAGCTACTCAATCCTAATGTATGAACTAGGATTTTTTTTTCTCTAATTGTTCTTAACAATTAGGAAAGTATTTGCAGTATAAACAGTAAGCATCCACATCTGTACCAAACTGTGAAAGACAAAGTGTGTGCACATATGTATATTTGGTACAGTTTTTAATGTATGTTTACATTTGTTAAAATAATATTTAAATTTAATAATGTCTTCTTATTAAGTGTCTTTTTTCAACTCATTTTTTTCTTTACTTTTTCTTTGTCTGTTTAATACATGATTTATAGTTTAATATTCTTTGTAAATCTGCTTTTGCACAAATGTATTCTAAAAAACTAAACAAATTAAACTTTTATAAGAAACGTTTTTGTTGGTATTGTGTTTTA